GATTATATCCAGAGAGTAATCATTCTCTATTGTGAATTTCAGAAGTTGAAATCCCGTGTGTTCAAATTGTAATTCTTTTCTTGTTTACTAGTATAGTACCCGTGCGATGCACAGAGTTTTATTATTTTCGTCCTTTTTAAAAGCCGATTTTGTATTTAAATTAGAATTATATAATAAAACACCGATCATTGATTATAATTAAACTTAACAAATACTTATTATAAGATACGTATAATTATTTATATTAATCATGTTGGGCTTGTAAAATAATAATGTTTTTCAAAAATGTTGGCTTCAAAAAATTCATATCGGCCCAAACAAAACAGAAAAAATAATTCAATGATCCAGATTAGTTAACAGAAATTGACAGTTTAGATTACATTGAATAAAGTATAAATAGTGAAATTATTGGACCAAGGGCTTCATTTCTTACTTCATTTTTTGCCGCTTCCAGCTTCCTCTTTCGTCTTTTTTCATCGATCTTCCAACTTTTCCGTTCTAACATTGAGGGCCTTATAAATACATATTCTCTTTTAGTTTTCATTTAATCGATGCCTTTAAATTAATTTTAGGTGTTTTGCACGAAACAAAATGTGGATTGTTCAATTTGAGGGTTTTTATTTTTGATTTTTATAGTTTTATGTTCGAATTTTTTGGTTTTAACAATTAATCAAAAGAATCCTTCTAATTTGAGTGTGCGCCGGTAAATTTTGTTAATTTTAGTTGTTTTGTCCGAAAAAATAAATGTGAAATTTTTAATTTTAAGGTTTATGTTCAATTTTTGTACTTTTATGTTCGGATTTTTTTTTTGTATTTACGATTAGTCAAAAGAACTCCTAGAATTTGAGTCTGTGTTGGTAGATTTGTTATTTTTTTATCGGCAAAATTATTTTGTTACACAAATTTTTTTGACATTCAAATGATTTTTTTCTTTTAAAACTCAACTCGACAGAAAACATACAAATCGGACAATTAATTATGTGATATCATTGATTTTGATGAATTGCACACAATTATTATGGTTTATGAACTTGCAAGTTTTTTTTGCCCAAATTAATGAATGTTGATATCAATGAATTTTAAAAAGGATTGGTATTGAAATAAAACTCAAATTTCTAAAAGCATCATTTGTATCAAAATTGAGCAATTTGGTTACCAAAATTAAGTATCCGTGATTAAAGGCACATTTATATGTTTCTCATTTAATAAACAAAAAATAAAATAAAACTTACCCGAAATGGTATGCAATTAATGTTGCCAAATTTTTCTTCTTATTATTTTTGGTAAATAATAATTCTTATTATATATATAGATTTGATATTTTTAATTTCAAAAGTAAGAGTTTACCCAACTTGTACATGGTAGAGATTGGGAACTATCATAATGTAAGATAACTCCATATGCTTGCTTTCGTCTCCCTTACCTTTTTTAGCTAACTCTCAATTTTTTGAGGCAAGTTCCTTTCTGATGGAGACAAGACCGCGATTGCGTTTCTAGATAAATTTGATTGTCTCCGTATTTAGCTTTATTACGTAGAGTCTTTTATTATTATTTCTGTATCCTCTTATTTCTAGTTGGTAGGAGAATATTATTATTTTCTTATTTTCTTATTTCTAGTTGGTAGGAGAATATTTATTTATTTGATATTTTCTTGTTTAGCAAGTTAGGGTTTTAGTTTTGAGAGTCTTATATAAAAGACTCCCTTGCTTTATTGTTAGATTGCAGATCTGTCCGCGGAGATCGGGAACATACGTCTAACTATCCGTACCATGGTTCGGGACAAGCAAATGTATCGTAGCGCCGTCAACCAAGACCTGCTCGCGAGAACTCGCGGCGGACGTGGAGATCGTGGTCAGGGCGGGTGCCCCCGCCAGAGATCACCACAACCGCCGCCCGGCGATGAAGACGGCGAGGAGCCAATCTCGGAGGTGAATCTCTTTGTAAGTTCTGTTGGCAACAAATCGAAGAACCTTCATCTGTTCTCAGTTTCAGACTTCACAAAAATATTTAAGGGAAGTCTGTCTTAAAATTACTTGGATTAGTTTTTGATTACTTCAGTTATTGGTCAATACTTATACATGTTTTATTATGGCAGGTCAAAAGAAAGATCGTGAATCACATTCCATCTATGACCACCTTTTATGTGCACTTACTTACCATATGCGCGAGATACTAATTAAGCAACATGGACTTTCCAAGAGATGATATGATTTGGCTGGGAAGATAGAGGTAGAACTTACGATATGAGGTTGAGGATAAAAGGACGACGAGATGGCATTAAGGAGTACTTTTGATATTCTTAATTTTCTCAAGAGTGAGGACGATTGATTGTTGGTCTTTGGTTTCTTATTTATTTTGAGTGATTTTATATGTGAGTGGGATTATTGTAAAAAGGGAAAAATACAGAGTGTTCGGAGGTTCATTCTGTTTTAGTTTGAGGGAGTCAAACGTGAAGAAAACCACAAGGGACTTGTGGTCGGATAAGTAGTTGTGCAATTCATTGTTCAAGTAGAGTGTAGAAAGTCTATACTGTAAACCCTTGAAGAATGAGTGAGTTGATTGCATTAATGAAAGAGATCCGAAGGGAGAATGTGACGCTCTCCTAAAGGTTCAAATTTGTTTACTCTATTTAGCTTAATCGTGCGTAACTCTGAATACTTGGGATACAAGTATCAAACTTCAATTGGCACCAGAGCGGGTTTTCGTATACTTTGCGAAAGATCTAAGGACGTGTGGATTGGGCAATCATGAATCAGGAAAGTAGATCGATGTCTAGGCCTCCGCAATTGGATGGTTCAAATTATTCCTACTGGAAATCAATGATGACGTTTCAA